TCACACCACTCGACACAGACAACACATGCACACAACGCACGCACGCAACACATAACACACATGCATGCACGCAGAACGCACATACCCCGCATATAATTCACACATAGCGCACACTCAACGCACAACACATGCACACAACACGTAATACACATTAGAGACACACCTTACCCACCGCACACACGCATCCTCCACATGTGTTTGTATGAGCTTGGGCATGCACGTGTCTTTTGTACATGTATTGAATTTCCGTCCGTCGCCGTATCAATTGTTTCCTCCGTTCGGTATATGAGCAGGCTGGGACGGTTCTGGCGCGCGGTCGTTTGCGAGTTTCGAGGTCAGAGTTCTTGGGGGCTGTCCGGAGGCATCTTTGGGCCTTGGGAGCGTTTGGGGGGCCTCTGATGGGCTTCTTTTTGGACTCTGGGGGGCCTCTTGGGGCATCGAAGGTTCCAGTGGCGCAGCCCGCATGCGGTTCCGCATCCTTTCCGGCACACCCCTCGCACGTGTCGTTGCCCCATAGGGAGCTCCACCGAAGGTCTGCCCCAGCGTCGCAGCCCGCATGCGGCCCCGCACCCTTTTCGGCACACGCCTCGCACGCTTCGTGGCACCATAGGGGGCTCCACCGAAAGTCCCAGTGGCGCAGCCCGCATGCGTCCGCCGCCGGCGCACCCCTCACGCGTTCCGTTGCCCCACGGGGAGCTCCACCGAAATTCCCAGCGGCGCATTTCGCAGGCGCCCGCCCCACTCAGTTCGACACACCACACGTCTCGTGGCCCCGGGGAGCTCCACCGAAGGTGTCAGTGACGCAGTCCGGATGCGTTCCGCGGCCCCATAGGATGCTCCACTGAAGGCCCCAGTGGCGCAGCCGGCATGCGGTCGCCCCATCCATCTCGGCACACCCCTCACAGGTTCCGTGGCTCCATAGGAAGCTCCACTCAAGGCGGTATTTACAACGACGGCACTCGCAATTGCACATGGCTCAGTCCTTCGCCATGCTAATGTCCCGTTGCCTTTTGCTGTAACGCGCTGTGCTTTATTTAATCGCTTCGCTCATTCCGCCGGCCCTGGAGCGCTATTTGGGGCCGTCTCGGGGGCCGTCTTGGGGGCTTCTTGGGGGCTTCTTGTGAGCGTCTTGGGGCTCCTTGGCGGCGTATTGGGCTCCCCTGGGGCCTCTTCGGTGCCCATTGGGGCGGGAGGGGGGTAGTCGATTGCAGCCCCCCCCTCGGAGGCCACGATCCTCGTGAGGGGTGGCGAAAAATAGCCTCTCCCCTGGGGATCGCCCGGGACCGCCGGGGATCGGCCAGGGTATTTTTCGTCCGGGGACCCCAGGGGCCGCTCCGCGCGCGCGCACTAGAGATATTGTTAAGTAGTTGCCGAAGATCTTAGCACGCCTCTGGCCCGCTGGGCCTGCGAATTTTTGGCACCATGTCGCACGTCGCGCTGGCGTTACGCCCCCTGTTCGCACGGCGAGCCGGAATGTTGTCCTGCTGGTTTTTGCCGATGCACGTTGCGCTTTGTTTTTCGCACCATTCCGCAGGCCGCACATGCGCTACGCCCCCTGTTCGCCCGGCAAGCAGGGGTGACAGGGCAGGAGGAGGAGGAGGAGGAGGCGGACAGGGCTCGGGAGGGCGAGCAGCACGCAGGAGGAGAGGAGGGAGAGGGGGGGGCAGCAGCGCCACGGCCGTCGGGCAGTCGCCATCGGGCGGCGAGACCAATACACACGCACACACGCACACGCACACGCACACACACACATATCCACTCTCACACACACACACGCACGCACGCACGCTCGCACGCACGCACGCACGACCCACACACACACACACGCACACACGCACACAAACACACACACACACGCACGCGCACGCACGCACGCACGCACGCACGCACGCACACGCACGCACGCACACACACACACACACACACACACACGCACGCACGCACGCACGCACGCACGCACGCACGCACGCACGCACGCACACACAGACACACACAGACACACACACAGACGCAGACTCACAGACACACACACACACACACGCACGCACGCACGCACGCACGCACACACGCACGCACGCACGCACGCACACGCACGCACGCACGCACGCACGCACACACAGACACACACACACACAGACGCAGACTCACCCACACACACACACACACACACACACACGCACGCACGCACGCACGCACGCACGCACGCACGCACACACAGACACACACAGACACACACACAGACGCAGACTCACAGACACACACACACACACACACACACACACACACACGCACGCACGCACGCACGCACGCACGCACGCACGCACGCACGCACGCACGCACGCACACACAGACACACACAGACACACACACAGACGCAGACTCACAGACACACACACACACACACACACATGCACACGCACACGCGCACACACACACACACATACACATACACACACACACACGCGAGGAGCCGCGCCCTCCAGGACGTCACCATGTGCATCAGGCTCGAAGCGTGGGACTCTCCGTGTCGGCGGTGCCAGGCCTCGGCGCGGAAGCCCCATCGTGCAGCTCGAGGGACAGCTGCGTGGATGGCCCTATCGAGGGCGGCTCGGGCCCAGTAGGCCGCAGCCGACTACGGCAGTAAGAGTGCCAGCTGCATGGATGGCCTCACGGTTGCTGGGGCGGCCGTTGGCTTGTGCCTCCTCGTGGGGAGCGGGTTCCGCCTTTGAGAGGGCCCCTGCGGTAGGTTTGTTGCCCCCCTTGGCGCGGTGTCCGCCGTGGCTGAGGGGCCTGAGGGGCGTCCGCCCCTCGGGGTGCCTGGGCCCGCATTCGCCGTTGGCGGGGCCTGGGCTCGGCGGAGCAGCCTCGCATTCTTGCGCCCCCCTTCGGCATTGGGCCTGGGGTGGGGTGTGGTCCCCAGTGGGTCCTGGATCCGCCACCCTGGGGTGCTGGGGGGGGGGGGGGGGCGCGTCCCCCGGCACGGCGGGCGGGGAGGCCCAGTGGCCCCCCGTCGTGGCTCGGCAGGCCCGGCGGCCCGAGCGCGCAGCGCAGGGTCTGCGGGCCCGAAGGCTGCGGCGAGGCGCGGACGCCCCGCAGTGGCCGATCACCACAATCACCAGAAACACACACAACACACAACACACAAACACACAAACACACAACACACAACGCACACAACACGCGCGCACACACACATACACACACATATAGATATATATATATATATATATACACACACACGCATACACACACACACACACACGCGGCCGGGGGCGGCGGGTGTACATGGATCCCGCCGTTTTGTCCAAGGGGATGCTGGGCGATCGAGGTGGGCACGGAAGCTCGTATAGTGGGTGCATCGTAGCCACCCGCAGATGGGGTGGGAGGGAGGGGGGGAGGCTTTTTAGAAGCACCTCTGCTTCTAAGCAGCCCTCCCCCCTCCCACCCCTTCGTGCGCGCCGCCAAACAAGGACCCACAGCATGCCCTGTTCATTTTAAGCAGGACTCGCTGTCGGTGTCGCCGCGCACGTTGTCCACTTCGGGCAGGTGGCCGCCTGCCCAGCAGCGGGTCGCAGTCGGTGTGTTGGCCACACCTGTTGTGGGGCATCGTGCCCGTGGTTGTTCCCGTATCCTTCCCGTTCCTTCCAGAAGCATGTTGGGCGTTCAGAGAGATCCAGCGCTCCTTGCGGGCAATATTTATATCCATATCCAGTGCGTCTTGGACTTTCTTGGAAGGGGCGCCGCAAGGCCGAGGCGCACTGGATATGGATAACAATTGAACCTTTTGGAGGCAGGTTATCCGTAAGGGTCTCGCCCCCTGCCGCCGGCCCTCTCTCTCGGAGAATGGGCCATGGAAGAGCTAAGTCATGAGGCTTTGGCGCTGTCGTGCAGCAATATCGGAACTTCATGCGAGGCCGATTCGCAATCGGCAAAACCAATTGATCACAAGAGGGGTTACCACACAGGGCGATTGGTAAGACGTGTATGGTTTACGAGCTTGGTTACCACACCTTGGGATTAAAGGGCCGAGGGAGTACTCGCAGTTTGGGTTACCACGCCTTGCGACGGATGTGCGTGAGGGGTGGCACCGAATTTCAGAAATGTGGCAAATCCCCTGTGTTTTTGGACCCTGACCCCGCGGATCTGCGTGAGGGGTGGCACCGAATTTCAGAAATGTGGCAAATCCCTTGTGTTTTTGGACCCTGACCCCGCGGATCTGCGTGAGGGGTGGCACCGAATTTCAGAAATGTGGCAAATCCCCTGTGTTTTTGGACCCTGACCCCGCGGATCTGCGTGAGGGGTGGCACCGAATTTCAGAAATGTGGCAAATCCCTTGTGTTTTTGGACCCTGACCCCGCGGATGTGCGTGAGGGGTGGCACCGAATTTCAGAAATGTGGCAAATCCCATGTGTTTTTGGACCCTGACCCCGCGGATCTGCGTGAGGGGTGGCACCGAATTTCAGAAATGTGGCAAATCCCTGTGTTTTTGGACCCTGACCCCGCGGATCTGCGTGAGGGGTGGCACCGAATTTCAGAAATGTGGCAAATCCCTTGTGTTTTTGGACCCTGACCCCGCGGATCTGCGTGAGGGGTGGCACCGAATTTCAGAAATGTGGCAAATCCTTTGTGTTTTTGGACCCTGACCCCGCGGATCTGCGTGAGGGGTGTCGATTTCGAGCCCCCCCCGCAATTCAGACAACGCGCCCAGGGGACGCTAAAAATCCCGTTTGGGCCTCCCCCCCCCCTCGCGCGGTCAATCAACTAGTCACAGTAACCAGCAAGAAGCAGAACTGTAACACTGGAAACTACAAGCTACAACTGGTACTGGAAACTGCGAACCCGTGCCTCGCAGCCTGGTGGCCCCACAAGGGGGCCGGCGGATAATCCATATCCACTGCGCCTCATGTTTCTTGGGAAGAGAGTCCGAAACTCCAAGACGCACTGGATGTGGATAAAGACACTGCCCGCACTCCCCTCCCCACCGGACCTGTCGCACGGAGGACATCTGCGACTACAAGCTGACCCGCCCGGAGACGACGGGGGGGGGGGCTGCGCGCCTCGCTCCGCTCCCGCGCCCCATCGCCGCCGTCGGGGGAGCCTCGGCGCCGGAGGTCGGGACGGATCGGGCAGGGCGACGGCGCCGAGTTCTGTGTTTGGTTCCTCCGCCCGCGGGCTGGGCCAGTGGTGATGAGCCTGTTTCCCACCACCACCACCACAAGTTGGATGGGGGGAAGGAGGAGGGCGAGGAGGAGGAGGAGGAGGAGGAGGAGAGAAGGAGGAGGAGAGGAGGAGGAGGAGGAGGAGGAGGAGGACCCCTCCCCCTCCAACATGTGGTGGTGGTGGTGGAAAACGCGCCCCTCAAGTGGGGATCTGGAGTCACCGCGCTGCTCTTCGGAGGGCACCAACTATACACCAAACACCGATCCTGGCCAGGATCGGTGTTGGTGTATAGTTGGTGCCTTCCTAGCTCTGGGACTCGGGCTCGTCTCCGAGGACGTCTCGGGCGGCGCTTCCCGAGGTCCTGAGGCCGTGCTGTGACGGACCTCGCGCGGCGGGGTCTCCTGGGGTTTCGGGATCACCGCGCGGTCCGTCACCACGCGGTCTTGGGACCCCCGATCTCTTCGTCCGTCGGGCTGCCTTTGGGCCTTTGGCGGGAGGAGTGGGAAGCGGGGCGCGTCGATCTGGGGCTACCTCCAGAAGTGCGGGCGCGACGGGGGGTTGGCGTGCGCTAGAGGGGGCATCCAGCATCATGCGCCTGGGGGTGCACGTGGCAGCTGCTGTCACGCAGCTTCACGCCCCGGCCCACGGCGGAGCATCGAAGGTGGGGCTGCCGAATGCTTCGCGCTCGGGAACACGTGCGTGGAGGGGATGGTGTCGAACATGCATCCAGCACGTATGCACCTGGCAGGTGTCTTCACGTGTGTGTAAGCACCAAGGGGAAGTGTCATCAGCGGATTCTGCACACGTAAAAACTGATGTGCAGAGGGGGTGGTGTCGAACATCCGTCTTGCACGTGTGCTTTAGGCACGTGTTTTCACATGTGTGAAAGCACCACGGGGAAAGGTCGACCATGCGGCCAGCGGATTCGTCACGCCTGCACACGCGCCTCCGCGTGTGCAGGCGAAGTGGTTCAGAGGAGAGGCGAGCCAGCTTTCAGCTGCCTGCTTGCCGAATCGGCCGCTGAAAGGGTGGCCGACTCGAGTCCGCGAGTCCCGAGCTCGTCCTCATCTGAGTGAGGGGGGCCCGACGTTCTTACTTTCTCCCTGCGCGCATGGCTGGATGGAGGGTCCGGCCTCTGGGGGCCACACTCGCGGGCTTACGCATGGGGGCGACACTCGTGGGCGGCCAAGAGGGGGGTGATCACTGGGGCGGCTGGATATCACAGCGGGGGCCATGATATCTCCTCAGATGGCATGGCTCTTCTTGACATTTTTATGCGTCCCTGCCCCCCCCCCCCCTGGGCCGCGCACGGGCCGCTGGCCATGGTTTGCCCCCCCTCCCCCCGCCCGTCTTGGACGCCCCCCTCTTGGCCGCCCACGATGTATTTGAGGGCTACACATGGGGGCTGCACTTGGGGGCGGTTTGCCCCCGCCGCTGCCCTCTCGCTCTCATCCAGAAGTGCGAGGACGTTGCGCATTCAAGAGGCTTGCGCTAGTCCGCCGACCCCCAGGTGATGGACATTTGCGGCGTGCGATGTCTCACGTGTTGTTCGACATTTGCCGACATGCTGCCTGCGTGCAGTTATTGCTGATCCGTCTCCCTCTTCCTCCGCGTCTGTTGGGCGGACTTCGTGGGGGCCTCCTGAAGGTCCCGGGGGAGGACTTCTTGGAGCAGTTTCAAAGCTCTTGGAGTTTTTTCTGGGGCCCTCTGTGGGCTTCTCTGGGGCATCTTGGGGGTCTTGAGGCTGTGTTGGGGGTCTTGAGGGCGATCTCGTGGAGGAGGGCTCCTGGGGTCCCCGGGAGCTCCCTCCCCCTTTAGGGCCTCTCTCGGGCCCTTCTTCGGGCCCTCTTGAGGGGTTCTGTTGCAGTCTGGGCAAGGGGCCTCTCTGCCGTCGTGGGGCCCTCGTGGGCAGTCTCCGCGCCCCCTTTGAGGGAATGCTGGCGGTGCTCGGCAAGCCCGTCTTGGGTGCTCTCGAGGTCTCCCGGGCCTCCCGCGCACCAAGGGCCTCCCTCCTCTGACGGGATGTGGGACCTCGGGGGATGGAAAGAGGGGGAGGAGAAAGGGGGAGGAGGAGTAGGAGGAGGAGGAGGAGGAGGAGGAGGAGGAGGCGGAGGCGGAGGAGGAGGAGCAGGCGGAGGAGGAGGAGGCGGAGGAGGAGGAGAGGAGGAGAGGAGGAGGAGGAGGGGGAGGAGGAGAAGGAGGAGGAGGAGGAAAAGGGTGAGGGGGAGGAGGAGGAGGAGGAGGGAGGATGAGGAGGAGGAGGAGGAGGAGGAGGAGGAGGAGGGAGGAGGAGGAGGAGGAGGAGGAGGCGACAGCGAATCATCTCACACGCCTGGTCGCCCACCCGCGGCGGACTGCCCTCCCTCCCGTCTCCTGCCTCCTTTTCGCCCACTCCCAGGTCCTGCCTCCCGTCGGGCCCGCCCACGCCCTTCGCCTCCTTCCCCCTCTCGAGCCCTTCCTCCTCCTCCTCCTCCTCCTCCTTCACCTCCCCTCCTCCTCCTCACCTCCTCCTCCTCCTCCTCCTCTCCTCCTCCTCCTCCTCCTCCTACTCCTCCTCTCCTCCCCTCTCTCCTCCTCCTCCTCCTCCTCCTCCTACTCCTCCTACTCCTCCTACTCCTCCTCCCCCTCTCTCCGACCCCCTGTCCCATGTGTGTTCCGCCTTCTCTCACTTTATCCGACCGCACACCGAATGACCTCCTTCTGCTGTCTATTACGCCTTCTTGTGCATCCTGGTACCTCCTCTTATCGTACATACTCCTGCCTCCTCTTTTCCACCTCCTCCCACCGAGGTTGATTGGGGTAGCGCAGTGCTAGCCAAGATTGAACATTTCGGCCACGCGGAGCCCAGCCAGGCCACAACAGTATTCTTCAGGGCACCACGTAAATGCATGTGAGGCTTACAGGTGCGTATGGCCTTCTAGTGCAAATATTGGTACGTCTCTCAATGCGTATTGGATACGTGCTGCTCCTGCTTCTCGGCCCACCTTTCCCGTCCGCCTCCTGCTCTTTCACTTCCCACGTGGCCCCTCGTCTCCCCCATCTCCCCCTTCTATCTCTCGGCCCCTTCCCCCCCGCCCCCCGCCCTTGTGAGAAGGTGCGAGGGGGGCTTGGGGACGGGTGGGACGAAAAAAGGGGGGGCTTCTGAGAAGGCGGGCGTTACACCATTTGCGGCATGCAGCTGGCTTCTGCCCCGCTCGATACATGCTCGCCTCCAGCGTTGGGAGGCGCGATGGGGAAGCCTGATGCGTGAGATGACTCGCTGACACCCCGCTTTCCATGCTCTTCTCCTTTATCGGTGGCGCGCCCGGGGGGGAAGCGAGAGGGGGCGGGCCTGATCAGAAGGCCCGGAAGCCCTGCGGCCTTCTGCGAAATTCGTTGAACCATCCCCGAAGACACGGACAATTCCTCAGCAGGCTCGAGGGTTTATGAGAAGGCCAGCCACCTTCTGAGAAGGCCTCCTCCTTCTCACTTCCCCAGCTCGCTCGCCACCGACTTTTGTTTGACCCGAGATGAGGAACGAGGTAGCCGAGGCTACCATATTTCCGACGCCATGATGGTATTGCAGCGTCGACCCCGAGAGATCTAGATTCCTTCCCTGGGACCGCATTTCACCCCGATCCGTTTTTCGACGACCCCAGTGCTCGGCGAGGACCCCCCGATGTGGAAACCTGCGCAAAACACGCCCGTCGTGATTATGATCCCCCACGAGAGGAGGCGTGGGAGTGGGAGCGAGGCAGCCGAGGCATGCAGGGGGGGGCAGGGAGGGGCAGGGAGGCAGGAGGGGTTGGGCGGGGTGAGTCGGATGGCGTCAACTACTCCAGATCTTGTAATAAAAGGGAGGGGGTCTGGACCCTCCCAGACGAGCCATTTCAGACCCCCCCTCGTGGGAGAACCCTCCAAAGCGTCGTCCCCAGACCCCCCCAGGCCCTCCAGGATAGCCTGGAAGAGACCCCCCCCCGAAATGAGACCCCCCTCCCTTTATTGCGAAATCTGGAGTACACACGTACACCGATCTTGGCCAGGCCGATGTTGGGCCTAGGACCGGCGTGTGTGGGAACGGTGCAGGGGTGCACGGTTGGCGTCTGCCTCTTCACAGCGGGGGAGCCGGCGGCGAGCCCCTCCCCCCGCCCAGTCGATCGTGATCCCGAAGCGCGGCAGCATCTACTCCCTCAACCAGGCCAACATGGCGCAGTGGGACGAGCCCATGAGGCACCCGGCCTGCGCACCGCCCCGCCGCGCCCTCCTCTGCTCCCCCCCGCGCCCTCCTCTCCGCCGCCTGCGCCCTCCTCTCTTCTCCACCCCCGCGCCCTCCTCCCCCCAGCGCCCTCCTCTCTTCTCCCCCCCGCGCCCTCCTGCGCACCGCCTCTCCGCGCCCTCCCCTCCGCGACCTCCCCTCGCCGCGGGAGAAGGAAGCAGAACAGCACGGGGGGGGGCCCTCGCGGGGCCCTGGGGCCGTCGAGCGACGACCCGGGGCGAAGCACTGGTCCCAGGGAAGGGGTCCCAATCTCTCTGGGAGTACACGCCGTGAGACAGTCACGCTCTCGGAGCTCTGGGGAAGGAGGGGAGAGAGGGGCAGTGGGCGGAGGAGGAGGAGAACTTGGCCGGAGCAGGGCGACATTGAGAACAGTAAGGAGAGGGTCACGATGCAGAAACCCAGTTTGCCGTCTGGGAAGTCTTGAAAGAGGATGGGCAGGGGGAGGCAGGGGAAGATAGCATGGCGGAGGGGGACCTAAAGGGGTTCCCAGCTCTTCTCCAACCGATATGCGGATAAACTTTCTTGACCCGAGTAACTCCATGCGTGCCGACGACAACAGATGCAAATCGAGGTACGTCCGATTACGTCCAGGTAGGTATTTGCGGATATTGATTCGCGTGTCGAGGGGTGGCCTATGCAGTAAAACCCTAGCGATGGGGAGTGAGGTGGAGGAGGGGGAGGAGGAGCATAGAGAGCAGGCGGAACGAGGAGGAGCTACATGAGCTGAGGAGGTGGTGGACAATGCGGACGATGAGAAGGGTTCGTGCGGGAATGGGGCGAAGGAGGAGGGGTAAGGATGGGCAGAAGGAGGATTTGCGCGACGAGGTCGGGGAAATGGCATGGGAGGTGAAGTTTCGGTCGGACGGAGCCGGTGGGGAATACACGCGGGGACCCCCCTAAACTGTTACCGCGCGCACGTGTGTTCATCCTCTGCTGATTGCCCCTCGTTAGCGAACGCCCGGAGAATAAGGGGGAGGATGAGGACAAGGAGGGGGAATGGGTGAGGAGGAGGGGGAGGAGGAGGAGAAGAAGGTGGAGGAGGAGGAGGAGGAGGAGGAGGAGGAGGAGGAAAGCAGCGACGCTGAGGCCCCGAGCCCCGTGTTCTGGGAGCCCCTGCGCCTGTCCTGCAGGCGACAGGGCCCCCGTCGCTGGACGCGGGGGCGCCCGCGGGGGACTCCGCTGGGCAGGTGAAGGAGGCCTCTGCGCCTCCTGCACGGGCGAGCGTGGGCCCCGCCCCCTCTGCGCGGCCGCCGCGCCGCCGCACGCGGCCGCCACACTCCGCAGCGACGCGCCGCGCCCCGGCCATCCCGCCCCCCTCCTCCTCCCTCCTCCTCCTCCTCCTCCTCCTCCTCCTCCTCCTCCTCCTCCTCCCTCCCTCCTCTCCTCCTGAGCTACGGTTCGGGTCGGGCGAAAGGGGGGGTTTGGGAAAGGGGGGGTTACGAAATCTGCTGCATGTAGCTGGTTTCGGCCCCACCGAGGGGCCCGTTCCTCGATACATAGCCGCCTCCGGCGCCGGGAGGCGCCGGGAAAATCAGCTACGTGAGCTGATTCTCACCCCCCCCCTTTGCTATCCCCCCCTTTCGCCCGGCCCGAACGGTGTGTGTGTGTGTGTTCTCTCCCTTGCATTGCCCTTTGATGTGCGTTGTCGTCTATAAGCCGCCCGCCGTCTTCGCAGGTTCCCTGGCTCACCAGGTTGTTCAAGCCCCGAGGGCCGACCAGTCCTGTGGCGGGGGGGAGGGCAACGTCGGACGGCAGATGTCTGCCTTCAGGGTTTCGGGAGGAGGAAGAGGAGGAAGAGGAGGAGGAGGAGGAGGAGGAGGAGGAGGAGGAGGAGAAAGAGGAGGAGAAAGAGGAGGAGGAGAAGGAGGAGGAGGAGGCGGAGGCGGAGGAGGAGGAGCAGGAGGAGGAGGAGGAGGCGGAGGCGGAGGAGGAGGAGGAGGAGGTAATGGAGGATGAGGAATCGGAGAGGGAGGATTTTGAGGAGCAGAATTTTGAGGAAGACGAATTGGAGGAAGAGGAGTGGGAGGAGGAGGAGGAGGAGGAGGAGGAGGAGGAGGAGAAGGACGAGGAGGAGGAGGAGGAGGAAATGGAGGAGCAGGAGGAAGGGTGGGTGCAGGAGGAGGAGGAGGCGGAGGAGGAGAAGGAGGAGGAGGAAATGGAGGAGGATCAGGGTGAGGATCAGGAGGAATTGGAGGAGAAGGAATTGGAGGAGAAGGAATTTGAGGAAGAGGAGTGGGAGGAGGATGAGGAGGAGGAGGAGGAGGAGGAGTAGGAGGAGAAGGGAGGAGAAGGCAGGAGGCGGAAGAGCAAGAGGGGGAGGAAGATGAGAAAGAAAAGGTGGAGTTTGAGGAGTTGGAGGAGTTGGAAGAGTGGGAAGCCCCAAGGGCCGACCGGTCTTGGGGCGGGGGGCGAAACGTCGGACGGCAGATGTCTGCCTTCAGGGTTTCAGGAAGAGGACGAGGAGGGAGTGGAGGATGAGGAGGTCGGCGAGGAACTGGAGGACGACGAATTGGAGGAAGAGGAGTGGGAGGAGGGGGATGATGATGATGAGGAGGAGGAGGAGGAGAAAGAGGAGGAGAAGGAGGAGGAGGCGGAGGCGGAGGAGGAGGAGGAGGAGGAGGCGGAGGAGGAGGAGGAGGAGGAAATGGAGGACGAGGAATCGGAGAGGGAGGAATTTGAGAAGAAGAATTTGGAGGAAGACGAATTGGACGAAGACGAGTGGGAGGAGGAGGAGGAGGAGGAGGAGGAGGAGGAGGAGGAAATGGAGGAGAAGGAGGAAGGGTGGGTGCAGGAGGAGGAGGAGGAGGAGGAGGCGGAGGAGGAGGAGGAGGATCAGGAGGAATTGGAGGAGAAGGAATTGGAGCAAGAGAAAGTTGAGGAAGAGGAGTGGGAGGAGGAGGATGAGGATGAGGAGGAGGGGGAGGAGTAGGAAGATAAGGGAGGAGAAGGGATGAGGCGGAAGAGGAGGAGGGGGAGGAGGATGAGGAAGAAAAGGTGGAGTTTGAGGAGATGGAGGAGTTTGAAGAGTGGGGAGCTCCAAGGGCCGACCGGTCTTGGGGCGGGGGGCGAAACGTCGGACGGCAGATATCTGCCTTCAGTGTTTCAGGAGGAGGAAGATGAGGGAGTGGAGGATGAGGAGGTCAAGGAGGAAATGGAGGACATGGAGGAGGAGGTGGCGTGAGGAAGAACAATTGGAGGAAGAGGAGTGGGAGGAGGAGGAGGAGAAGGAGGAGGAGGAATCATAGTTGTCATAATAGTTGTAATAATAAGAAGGAGAGCCCGAATAATAATACGAACGTGGATACTGAGGATACTATTACTCGTACTAATGCGAAAAAGAATAATCCGAAAAGTGATAATTAGACAACTAATACGAAGATCACTGAGATGAGGAGGAGGATAATAAGGAGGAAGAAGTAGAGTTGGAGGAGTTTGAGGAGTTGATATAAGAGGAGGAAGGAGGAGACGGAGGAGGAAGAGGTTGAGTTCTAGGAGTTGGAGGAGTTAGAAGAATAGGAGGAGGATGAGGAGGAGGAGGCGGAGGAGGAGGAGGAGAGGAGGAATCATTGGAGGAGGAAATGGATGATGATGATGATGAGGAGGAGGAGGAGTTGCAGGAGGAGGAATTGCAGGAGAACGAATTGGAGGAGGAGGAGGAGGAGAGGGAATTTGAGGAGAAGGAGGAGGAAGAGGAGGAGGAAGAGGAGGAGGAGGAGAAGGAGGAGGAGGCGGAGGTTGAGGAGGAAGAGGAGGAGGACGATGACGATGACGAGGAGGAGGGGTGGGGGGAGCTGGAGGAACTAGAGGCGTTGGTGGAGGATGGGGTCGAGAGGGCCGCCCCCGGGAGGCAGTGGATCTCGGACCTCCAGGCGGGGAAGGGCCAGACAGGCAAAAAGTACACCCAGAGGCGCGCCTGGCCGCCCCCTTGTCTCTGTCGGGGGTGGGGTGGGTCGGGGGGCAAGGAGGGGGAGGGGGAGGAGGAGGGGGAAGAGGAGGAGGAGGAGGAGGAGGAGGAGGAGGAGGAGGAGAAGGAGTAGGAGGAGGAGAGGAAGGAGTAGGAGGAGGAGAAGGAGTAGGAGGAGGAGGGTGAGGAAGAGGAGGAGGAGGAGGAGGAGGAGGAGGAGGAGGAGGAGGAGGGGGGAGCAGGAGGGGCAGGCCGGGCGCATGCGCGTGCGTGTGTGGTCGCCACGGCGTTGTGTCATGAGGTCTGTGCGCTGCAGCAGGAAGAGGGAGCGGAGCGTTGTGGGGTAGAAGTCGACAAGGGGTTGCCAAGGATCAAGCATGAGGCGGGAACGCCGGCCGCACACTCACAGCTGCCGGCCCCAGAGCAGCTCGCCCCCCTTGGCAAACGCCAGTCCATGTCAGAGCCACCGCCCAGAGCCACCCAACGCCTGGAGCAGGAAGGAGGGGGCGGGAGGGAGGAGGGGGATGAAGGCTGGGAGAGAAGGAAGGAATTGATTAGGGAACCAAGCAATGACATAAACATACAAACTCGGAGGTCCGCGCGGATTCCTCGGATCTGCGCTGGACCAGCCTCCCTGGCGCGCGGAGCGCGCCAGGGGCGGCGCCTGAGGCGCCGCCAAGGGGGCTCCATCGCCGATCCGAGGAATCCGCGTGGACCTCCGAGTTTGTATGGTTGTGTCATTGTTTGTTTCCTTATAAAAAGAAGAGGGGTGGAGGAGGAATGGCAGGACCAGGAGGGTGGGAGTGGGATGACAGAGCTGGTGCTTCGCGCCATGATCGTCGCGTTCGCCCCTTTTCGCGGCGGCAGCGGGGCCCCGCAAGCGGGCGCGGAGCAGCCTTCCGCCGTGCAAAAAGGGGGAGGAGGAGGAGGAGGAGGAGGAGGAGGAACAGGGAAGATGAGGACGATAATGAGTAGGGAGGAAGAGGAGTAGGGAGAGGGGCTGGGGGAGGAGGAGGAGGAGGAGTGGAGGAAGAGGAAGAGAGGAAGATGCCGGATCGGTGCGAGTGGCCGCGGGGGCCCTCGTCCGCCTCACCCTCCGCCTCCACCGTTCCCTCTGCGCCACGTTCTCGTGAAGCGTCGCTCGGGCCAGCGCCAGAAGACAGCTTGTTTTGTTCTGTCTTGTCGTGCGTTTGGCGCCTCCTGTCCGCCAGCTAACGCGTTTGGCGTAGCTCGCACGCTCGCCAATTGTCTGCCCACGCGCGCTTTGCGTATGGCTGCTTCGCTTCGCCGTCGGTTTCGGTCCTAGGCTGGTTTCACTACAGGGTGGTTTACCAAAGGGAGGTTTGTCCACCGCCGAGAACAGGGGAGGGGGGCCCGTTTGGGACTGCCTGGCAGTTGCTAGCTCCCAGACGGCGCACGCGCGAATCGTGACGTCACCAGGGGGGGGAAAGAGGGGTTGCAGGGCCGGCTGCGGGCGTCATCGCGAATACAAGCAACCGGGCCTCAGATTCCGTCGACGCAAGGTTACCTACATTACGTCAGCGGGATAGGGAGCTCCCTTGTCACCCCCAAGCCACACGTGAAGAAGAGTTGCCAGGGTCTCTGTTGGTAGCAAGACGAACAAAGACGGGCGAGATTGAGGGACGGGAACCCAGAGCCAATGGGCGCTTGCTTTGTGGGACATTCTCAAGGTGTGAGGCTTTCATGGGGATGATGTCGTCTGGGTCGAAGTGAGTCGTGGTGATAGTGGATTCGAAGGGGTCCTGTCGGTTGACCATGGTGGGTCTGATATGTTCGCTCAGTTTGGTAGCGCGGCCGCGCTGGTTTCCTGTTGGTTGTGATGTTGTTGTTGGCGGCGGGCGGTGGGAGTTGTATACCGCCGACATGGTTGCGGGCGTTGATGGTGGTGGTGGTGTGCGCTGTGGTGTTGCAAGTGTCTAGTCGAGTGTTGCCCGGTATTGTGCCCTCGGGCCCGCTGAGTGCGGCCACCAGTGATTTGGATGAAGGTGTGGTGTTGCAGTTGATTATACTAGTGCTTCCGTTGGTCGTGATGGTTGGTTTAGGCCATGCTTCTGGGCGATATACTTCCCGACGTTTGGATACGATGTTATGTTGGCTGTGCAGGTGTGGTTGTGCATGGTTGTAGCTAAACTTGCGTCAAGGTGCCACCATGGGTCGCCGTTGGCTGTGGTGTGTCGTCAGATCGTCGTATTTGGTATTCGTCGTTGCTCCCTAGTCCGTATTCTGCCATCGGACTGTGTCACTTGTGATCGCCAGTTGCACATGCCATTCGTAGTTTTTGGGGAGCGAGGCTGATGGCGTGATTGGGATTGGAATACCACGTTCCCACTGGGCGAGTGTGTGATCAATTCGATAGTTGTCGAAGGCATGTGTGGTATCGTTGCGATAGATCGTGGGCTGGGTTAGGGACTGTGCCCTGCAACTCGGCTCATTTAGACCTTACAGGGCCCGGCAGGGCTCCAGCAGGGCCGACGTTAAGCGCATTCGGGGCACGGGCACGTCTGCCTAAAATAGACTTGCCGCAGCGATATCGTTGTCCGGCATATGTAATCAGTCTTCTAGTTTCAAGTGTCGCGTTCGACCTTGAGGGTCGCCCGTCGCCCGTTCTTGTCATCGTCGCTCCTCGCGTTCATCCTGGCTTCCCTCGTCATCTCATGGCGCGGCAGGTACATCGGCTCCATGGTTGGGGACGTGCACCGCACGCTCCTCTATGGTGGCGTCTTCGCGTACCCGGCGGACGAGAAGAACCAGGAGCAGCATTTCTCCGAGCTCTCGTTGTTGCGGAGGGAAGGCAAGACGGAAGATGAGGAGAATGAGCAAGAGACGGAACATGAGAGTGTGGGGGAGGATGACGGCGATTTTGGCGACGAGGGCGAGGGAGCGGATGGGGACGGGGACGACGGTCAAATTGAGACGATGAGAAGGTGCAGATGGAGGAGGAAATAAGGGAGGTGGATGTAGAGAAGGGAAGGGGAAGAGTGGAACACGCAACGTGGAGAAGGGATGGTTATGAGGAGGGAGAAAATAATGAGGAAGAGGAGGATTAGAGGGGTGATGTGGGACGGATGGGGGACTAGAAGGAGGAGGGGCCGAGACGGAGAGGATGAACAAGGGAGAGGAATAGGATGGTGATGGTGTGGTTGAGGTTGATGGTGATGTTGGTTGATGATAGAAAGTATGCAGGCGACGATGGAGTTGATGATTATGATGATGTCGATGATGGTGGCGATGCTTGTCATGGTGATGGTGACGATGGTGATGATGATGATGATGATGATGATGATGATGCTGATGATGATGATGATGATGATGATGATGATGATGATGCTGATGATGATGATGTTTGTGGTGGTGGCGATGCTGATGGTGATGATGCTGATTATGATGATGTTGCTGCTGTTGATGATGATGATTGTGATGGTGGTGATGACGATTATGACAGTGATGGTGATGGTGATGGTGATGGTGATGGTGATGCGAGCAGGAGGAAGGAGCACGAGTTCAGGAGGGGAGATGAGAGCGGAGGGGAAGAGGGGGACGAGATGGTAATTCAGAGGATGGAAAACGGGAGGAGGACCAGAACATAACGGATGATCGGTTTCGAGCAGGGAAGGGGGAGGAGGAACAGGAGGATGATAAGAAGGGGGTGGGAGGAGGAGGAGGCAGGAGGAAGACACAAGGCAGACAGGAGGGAGGGTGATGAGGAGGCAAAGGTGGGGGAAGGGGGGGATGGAAGAAGAAGAGGAGGAATATCAGAGGAGGATGGGAAACGGATGTGGAAGAGAGGCGGGAGACAAGCCAGGTGAGTTCGCGCCATATCGGACATGCTACCCTTCCCACCCATCCCTTTCCAGAGCGCTGAATTTTCTCTATCCTCGGACGCGTGCCATACTGGACACAGAACTCAATACACCAACCCATGCTATGCGTCATCGGAAAAGGGGAGTTGCGTACACAGGAGGAAGGGAAGGAGGAGGAGGAGGAGGAGGAGGGAAGTTGCGGATGAGCAGGAGGGTGAGCAGGAGGAAAAGTAGGATGAAGAATGAGGAAGGGGGAGGACGAGGACGAACAGAAGCAGCAGGAATTGGAGTGTCAGGAGCGGGAGAAGCATGCGGACCGAGGGGAAGGCGGATGAGCGGAACGGAGGGAAGCGACGCCGAAGCGGAAGGATTGGGAATCAGAAGAATGGCACACGCTGGGGCGAGAGCGCCACTGAGAACGACGGGAGCAAAGCGCCGATCCTATCATGAGGCCAATTTTGCAGCGGCAGCATCATTTTGACGCGACCCGCTGGGAAAAAACAAAAAAGCACAGACAGTCCTGTGTGCAACATGAACAGCTCGCGTAGGGGGGCGGACCATTCCCCAGCAATCTTCGGAGGATAGAGGAGAGGAGTAAGTTCCTACCAATGCTCCCCTCGCCCCATTATAAACATTTACGCCAGCAGGCCGATTACATGATTGGCATCCGGACAACATATACATCGCGCGGCCTTTTGTGCAGCAGTTCAGAAAGGGCCCGCTCTTACTAGACACAGTAATTATTGTAGCGCATGCCGCTTAGCGGAACCACCGGATATGGCGACAAGGAGTTCCCGTTGCTCGAAGTTAGTTAGATTTGGGACCGCTCGTACGCAACGTAGAAGTACACCAAGAAGGACAATGGCACCATCAAGCATATTTGCTTCTGAACAATAACAGTCCACAGTTGGACACATTTTGGCAACATCTTCAGTATTCATATCGGGTAGTTGTAGAATGTGAGGGGACGTGATGGGAACGAGGGAGTGCTTTCGAGCACGGGGACGGGAGGGGCATTCGAGCAGAACGGGAGTCGATGGCGGAGGGAGGAGGGGGCCGAGGAGCAGGAGGGGGACGCGGAAGGGGGGCAGGAGGAGGAGGGAGGAGGGAGGAGGGATACAGGAGAGAAAGTAGGAAGGAGATAGGAGGGAGAGGAGGGAGGCAGGGGGGGGAAGGGATGGACGAGAAGGAGGAGGAGGAAAAAAGGAGCAGGAGGAGCAGGAGGAGGAGGAGAAGGAGCCTTCTTGGCCTCCCGGCCGCCTCCGGCAGAACGCGCCGCGCTTCGTCGTTCCTTCGCTCGCCTTCGTCGCCCCCGCTCCGTCCGAGGCGAGGTGCTCCCAGCGGAAAACCGGCTGAGCCCGAAAGCCTTGTGAGTGGCACGCGAAGGCCAAGACATCACAGCGATCCTACTCCGAGCAAGCAGCCTCAGCACAGACAGACTCGGCCAGCCGCCCATTCCGTCTACTGAGAGGCACGAAGGCTGACCACCTCAGTTGCATGTTGTTCAACTCGCTCCTTGAGTACGTCATGAATCGGGCGAAGAGAGCTATGCACATGCACCGATCCTGACAACGTCCATCCTTGCCCCAGGATCGGTGCATATGCCCTCCTGGCCAAGGTAGGAGGACGTATGCACCGATCCTGGGCTCAGGATGGGCCTGGCCAGAATCGGTGTATGTGCATAGTTATTTTTCCTCTAATGAAGCCGCTCGTCGCCCAGGGGCAACAACGCGCACTTGAATTTCACCTTGGGTCATCACCAGGATGCTGCCTAACAAACCTCGGCTTCGTTGACGGCGTTCTCCTCGGCAGGCCTCTCCCCTCGCTTTCTTTACGATGCTTAGGGACATGGTCACGGCTGTGGAAGAATGCTGTACCCATTTGTCACCACCCACCAAACCACCCCAACCCAACCCGAAGGCTCAGATTTACCCTCGATTTCTAGTGAAGGGGGGTCTGGGAACATCGAAAAAACACGAATGGAGCCCATACCCCCCCCAACCCGAAATTCGGGTCTTCGGGTTGGGTTGGGGTGGTCTGGTAGGTAGTCAATTTGCATCCAGACAACACGGCAATTTGGTCCAGCTTGTCTGAACGCACGGGAAGGTCACGCCGTTGCATGTGACAGTCGACGTTCTCGAGATCGAGATTTCAGAACACACTGGTTCTGTCAAGAATTTGGGACAGCGCAGCAGCTTCGACGACGCAGTCACCAATGAGTAGAACAACCTACTGAAGGCAGGTTAGGCGACACTCACAAGACACAGACAAGAGCTCTCACAGGACAGCTTTACCCGCTGAAGCAACGACTCGACTAGGGCCTTTCGACGGCACGATCATGCCGACAGTTTTTCATATGGTGTTGACACTTGGACCCTGATAGACCCTTTACGACACTAGCTACAACGCACGCGAGGGCGCATGCTGCGAGTGGTCATCGGCCCCCCTCGACGACGAAATGCCGATGTCAGATCAACGCCCGGACCGACAGGCCCTCAATAGCCAGCTCCGGCACCCCGCGCGGACAGCACCGCCAGAGGGGATCCAGACGGTAGCCCAACGCAACGAAGCTGGCAACGCCGAGCGAGAACAATTAGAGGACCAGGACGACCAGCCTGGGGACGACCGGCTGCCAGCGCGGGGGCAGGCGCTGCTGCTCCTCGGCAACGTGTGCTGCGTTGGGGGCAACGCAATTCGCTGCCTTGGCTGCGCGCCGCATCGCGCAGCTGCCCAAGGTGCCCGATTTGGTCGGCACCGTACTGGGGCGCCGGCGGCCGCGCCGTTTCGCCCTCTGTCCGCGAGTCAAAAAAAGGAGCCACGGGTCGAATACATCCAAGCGAGCAGCTCGACAAGCAGAGGCTCTCATGCGCAATCACAAACTACACGACGGGGTGGCAATGCGGCGGAACATGGCGTGGAGATGCGCAGCCGGTGTCGCGCAATAGTTGCCACATGAGTTGCCACAGCGTGTTCTTCAGTGGCACCCGAGCCTCCACACCACTCAGAACGAACAGCGTCATCACGGAGGACAGCGGAAAACAGTGAAGATGATATCCGCGAGTTTTTCCGTCTTTCGCGCAGCAGGCACGCGACGCCACCCACCGCGAAGGCAGTACGACCTCACTGGCACCACACTGCTACAGCGGGCTGCAGCAAAGAGGTGGGGGAAGGTTGAAAAACAACATCTTCGTGAGTGACGCCTCTCCCTGAGTCGGCGCCGGGCGCGCGCCGACATCATTCAGGAGGGGACAAAAAAACCAGACACAATGAATCGTCGATCCCCAGGGAAATATGGGAAAATGTGGGAAGCGGGGGGAAGACGAAAACCCAGGAAAAATTAGAGAATATGGGGCATCCTTCTTATTCGTGTGTCTTTACTTGTGTGCCCCAGGGCTCCTTCATGGCGCGACAGGGAAATATAGTAAAATATGGGAAGTGGGGGGGAAGACGAAAACCCAGAACACATGGGAAAATCTGCGGTATCCTTCTTACTCGTGTGTCTTTATTTTCGCAGGCCTACAGGTTGACACTAACACCAATTTCGGCGGCGTGCCTCCACCGAGGGAAGAAGATCCCGATCTCGGCGATGGTGGTAATATTCGGGATTCCAACGTGACCGAAATATGACCACTGATGCCGAAACCTAGGATGCTTTCCCCCCTGTGGAGGCAGACCTCTGTGTTGGTGTTGGTGCCAATTTCCAGGCCTCCAATATTTTCGGGGGAGCGCAAGACCCCGGTTTGCCAGGACTCGGGTTCGCCATCGTTTTTTGACGACCGCGATTCGGATTCTGACGAGTAGGAGTTTCGTGGGACGTCTGCAGCGGGAGGCCTCGTCAAAATGCAGGCTCGGCCTCGTCATTTTGTTGACGACCTCGTCGGGGATTCCCGAGTCCCCTGTGCCCGGGTCTTACGCCCCCCATGATACTTGTGTGTCCCAGGGCCCTTGTCAATCGTGGCGCGAGGCCACGGGCGCTCCCGGCGCGAGCGACGCCCCGGCTCCACCCGCGCTCTTCGCCCTGCATAGGGGGGCCCCGGCGCCGGCCCGCACCAGCGGCCCGAGCTCCGAGGTGCTCCATGTACGACCAGAGGTAAGAGTAACTTTTCGCCGGAGTGGCCTTTGGTGCGAAGCGGTGGCAGCGGCTAGCGCGCCTGGATTTGGCCTCCCCGCGGCCCCCCCAAAACCGCGCACCAAAGGTCACTCTTACCCAGGGTCACTCTTACGTGTAGCCGACACTTACCAGCCTCGGACGTATCCCTATCCCTACGATTGACACGCCAAGAGGCGACGACAATCTCAGGGATCCGCCCTCCAAAAGTAAGGAGATCCCTAATATTTGCATCGTGATGAGGAGATGCCCCCTGCGGTCTCGGGCAGGGCTGGACCTGAACGGTGTTTTTGGCGATTTCGTGGGCCGTCTTCGTTTCGACTTCGTTCTGCGGTGCAGGAGGATTCGAGACCAAAGCGAGGGGCAACGAGAACGAAGCGAAAACGAAAAACACCGTTTAGGTTCAGCCCCGGTTTCGGGCGGGGTGCCCCGCCTCCGGGCGGCTCCCCGCGCGGCTGTCGCCGTGCCCCCCCCCCCACCGGTCGCGGTCGCGAGAGATCTCTCGGCGGGGGCACTGTGGGTCATGCTCGGCCTCCGTGGCGGCCTTGGCCGAAGTCCGGTCCTGGGGGCGGGGCCCACCTCCGGGGGCCACGCGGAAGCATCCCGGCGCCGGGTTCTCGGCCTCTCCTCCGCAGCCTCCCCCCCGTCCTCGTCGCCGTCCTCGTCCCGTGTCCATCCTCTTCCTTCTCTTCTTCCAGTTTCGCCTCCTCCCTCCTCTCCTCCTGTTCCTCCTCCTCGTCTTCCCTTTTCTTTGCTCCTCCACGTCGCACCACCAGACGTGCCCGTAAGCCTGCTGGGTGTTTCGCGTAAGTTGTCTTCCCCAATGGGATTCGCGACGCCTTCAAGGATGGAGCCTGGGTGGTTCTCAAAGTGTGGCCCTCGCCCGCGTGCCGCTTACATTCGTGCTTAAAGCTTGCACCAGCTTCGTGGAATGAGGCCAGCTCTTTTTTTCAAAACGGCCCTTTACCGGAGCGCCGCGCACACTCAGGCAGACAACAGCTCGCAACAGCTCCAGAGATGGATGCCTCTCTACGGGGACGGCCCTCGTAGGCCCTCTGGGTTAGGCCCAGAGGTGGCCTCGGGCTTTGGCGCCTCAGTGGTGCCCTCCAGCCTTTATAGGCCCCGCAGAATCAGGACCAGAACCAGGAGATGGATGCCGGCTCTTCTTCAGAATGGGGCTCTAGCCTCCGAGCCGCGCACACCCATACGACCCGCCATGGCGCGATGGCAGTCGCGTTGCGTCGTGGTTCGACGTGGCGCGCGTGCCCTGCCGACCTGCTGGCATTCCTGCAGGACTCGTCACTGCCACTACATGCGCGCCGTGGCGGAGCGCACTGGGATTCAGACGCGCTTTGGCGTTCCAGTCGCCCCCGCTGTCGTTGGAGCCGCGACATTGCGGCAGCGGGGCGGCGAGGCGGAGCAGGAGCGGCCGCGCGCCGAGGTCTGGCACGGGAGCTCCGAGGAGCCGGAGTCTCCTCGGCTACGGGCCGCCGGTCGGGGCGGCCAGGGCCAGGGCGGCGCTGGCGGCCGCGGCGCGGCGCTCGTGGCAGCCTCCGCGAAGAAGATCGTGAAGGCGCAGCGCAGAGTGACTGCGCGGGCGGCGGGGCGCGGCGCCGCGGGCAAGTCCGCCGCGCGGAGGAGTGCCCAGATCCAGAGGAATGCAGCCTCCGCCGGCGGGCAACCGAACGCGCGCGGGGGCCGCCACAAGGCCGCCAAGATTGGCGACGTCGGAGCTCGGGCTGACGCAGACCTGCGCAACGCAACCAGCGTTAATTTGGTGTTGTGTGCCTGTTTGGTTGTTCTTGTTTTCCAAGTTGAGGTCTCCTCGGCCTAGGTCTGCGTCAGCCCCGGGAGCGGCTTGCAGCGCCAGCAGCTCTGGGTCGTCATCTGCGTTGTCTTCCAGCGGTTCCACTTCTGCCGGGCTGTCCAGCGGCCGGGCGCCATGAGCCGCGTCGCAGGCCAGCGCGGCCTCCGCTCCGCCGCCTGCCGCGGCGTCGCAGGCCAGCAAGACGTCGGCGTCCCGAGGCGTCCCAAGGCTTCGCAGGCCATCGCAGCCTCTGCGCGGGGCGTCGCCACTGACAGCCCCCGGGGCGATTGCCGCTGCATTGTGCGCCGCGGGAAGCACCGGCTTGAGTTCTGCCCGCCTGTGCCGCCCAGGTTGTGGACGGAGGCGCGCGCGCGCGGAGGACGTGGCTACGTTGCGAGAGAGTCGGCTGCGAAGACGGAGCGCGTCTCAGTCAGTTCTGTTCGTGCCGCAGGATTGCGCGCGCGTCTCGAGTTCGAGGCGACGGGAGTTGTTTGTTCTCGGCGTGTGCCCGGGCGCTCCGGCTGCGCGATCCAGCGGCCCTTCGCGCAGCCCCAGTCCAGTTCATCGCGCAGAACCCGCTCCGGGACTTCGAGGGCGTGCCTCTGCGCAGTTGGCTCTGGCATGAGCGGCGCATCACCGCGAACAGGTACAGGGAGATTCTGCGCGGGAGCTATGCCCCTGACGCTTGGGGCGGCGCGCTCGAGGCTTGCGTCATCGGCCAGCTTCACAAGCGCGACGTGCAATTTTGTGAGGTCACCCAGGGTGGTTTCGAGCGGAGCACGCATATCATTTTCCAAGGGGTTGATGCAGACCGCAGCAGAACGCCTGTGACCATCTTGTGGAGCGGCACCCATTATGACCTCCTGCGCGTTGAAGCGCGTGCAGAGGTGTGCTCAGAGCGGTGACCAGTCTACCATCTGGAGACGCATGGCCTCGCACTGGGACTGCAGGCGCAACGTAAAAATATGTGGGGAGGGGGGTCGTCTTACAGTCACATGTCCTTACTTTGCCAACGGGCCAGGAATTAAACATCGATGTGTCTTGTCATGGGCATGTCAAGGAGGTGGGTCCCCGTGGCGAGCGGCGCCCATGAATCAGGAATCAAGGGGGGCCCATGGGCCACCATCGCCGCCGCTCTGGGGCCGAGGGGGGGGGGGGGGCCCTGGCGAACGGCGCCCAGGAATCAGGAATCAAGGAGGACCCAAGGGTTACCATCGCCGCGCTGGGGCCAAGGGGGAGGGGGTGTCCTCGTGGCGAGCGGCGCCCAGGAATCAGGAATCAAAGAGGACTTAGGGGTCGCCATCTCCGCGCTGGGGCCAAGGGGGAGGGCGGGTCCCCGTGGCGAGCGGCGCCCAGGAATCAAGTGTCACCATCGCCGCGCTGGGGCCACGGAAACGGGCGGGTCCCCGTGGCGAGCGGCACCCAGGAACCCAAAGTCGCCATCGCCGCGCCGGGGCCGTGGGGGAGGGTGGGTCCCTTTGGAGAGCGACACCCAGGAATCAAGGCCTGCCATCTCCGCGCTGGGGCCGCGGGGGAGGGGCGGTCCTCGTGGCGAGGGCCACCCAGGAATCAATGGTCGCCACCTCCCCGTTGAAGCCACGGTGGCGGGTGAGTTCCCATGGCGGGCGGCACCCAGGAACCAGGGGCCCCCACCCTGGCACGCGTAGGAGTAGTTGGCACTGTGGTGGATGCGGCCGCTGTGGGTACACGGGCGGTTGTGGATGGCTGTGGTGTACGCAGGCGTTGTTGTGTACGCAGGCGTTGTGCGGTTCCCTAAGATGTGGTAGGACGACTATTTAGGATCCGAGGGGATGTTGTATGATTTGGTGGGATCCTGTTGGTATTTGCAGGATGTTCGTAGGATTGCGTGGGGATTGGTCGTGTTCCGTAGGATACCGCACGATTCTTTGTGATTTGGCAGAGTTGGAATATCAGGATTTGCTAAGGTCCCTAAGGCTTTGGTCGGATTCCTTTTAGTCTCCCCGTTCGGGTGGGCCCCCATCGGCCCCCCGCAAGGTTCTGTAGGGTTCCCGTCGGGTTTCCGCAGAGCCCCATTGGATTCTCATCGGCTCCCCACAGGGGTCCTATGGGTTCCTCGCACCCACATCCCTGCCCTGTGTCACCGCCAGCGTCACCATCGTCGCACGCGGCGTCCCCACCATTGGGTGCAAGCTCATATTGACTTAAATGCCGTGGCCAGACCTTCGTGCGCCACTATCACGCATGTCGTGCCCCATAGGGAGCCTCACGTGCGCCCCCAGTGAGATTGGTCCATCACTCATGGCATTCCGCGTCGCTCAGGCCTCAGGCTTGCGCTGATGGTCCCGAGGGGTGCGCCAGGGTAGTCCGTATGGGGACGGGTCGCCGAGGACCATCGGGCGCGCCGTATATGAGCCACCATGCCAGCGCAGCAGCGTCCGCCACCGTGCCAGCGCAGCAGCGCAGCCACGGTGCCAGCGCCGTTCCGCCAGCCTCGTGCCAGCGCAACAGCGTGAGCCACCGTGCCAGTGCAGCAACGTCAGCCACAGCGCCAGCGCAGCGCCGCAAGTACCGCGCTCCGGCGGCAGCGTCCGCCACCGTGCCAGCGCAGCAGCTTGAGCCTCCGTGACAGCGCAGCAGTTTGTGCCACCCGTCCCAGCGCGGCAGCGTCAGCTTTGCGCCAGGGCAACACCGCCTCCTTGTTCGTCCTCTCTATTTCCCTCCTCCTCCTCCTCCTCGTCCTCCTCCTCCTTCTCCTCCTCCTCCTCCTCCTCCTCCTCCTCTTCCTCCTCCTCTCTCCCTCCCTCCCTCCCTCCCTCCCTCTCTTCTTTCATCCCTCCCTCCTCCCCTCCTCCTCCTTCCCCTTCCTTCCTCCCCTAAGGCCCAACGCAAACTGCGCTCAGCCATATCATTCCTTGTCCCCTCCTCCTCCTCCCTCCTCCTCCTCCTCCTCCTCCTCCTCCTCCTCCTCCTCCTCCTCCTCGTCCTTGCTCTCCCTGCTCCCCCTTGCTTCCTATTCCCTGCTTTTGCCTTCCTGCTCACTCCTCATTCCTCCGTCCTCCCTCACCCGCCTCATCCTCATCATCCTTCTTCCTCCCCCAGTTTTCCATAGCAAGACATCTCAGGCGCTCCAATGGGACTCTCTCTGTTG